CTGGGGTGGGTGGTGATAGTGGAGGGGTATTATCCTCATCTGCCTCCTCCAGTATCCCCAAGTCACCAGAAAGACGAGCTGCTCAGAGGCAGGCAGTATTCTGAGGGAAGACCACTCATCTCTCTCTTGTGGACCTAAGGGTCTGAGAGTCCTGGTATCTGCTGACAAATCTTTTGGTGTTGCCAGAGATGGTCAGATGTCATAAATTTTTGGCCACCCTGGTTGCATATGGTCAATATCTGTTGTGTATCCACATACGTTGTGCAAGCTCATCAGAATGAAAGAAAGCTAAGACACCGCCTTCCCAAGAGCATTTGTAGGGCTTCTCACCTGTGTGTTTACGCTGGTGAGTCACAAGGTGGGAGCATTTGGTATAAGCTTTTCCACAGTTCTCATAATGGCAGCAGTAAGGCCTTGAAGCTGAGGATCTGCCTCTGTGAGCCCCTTCCTGGGCCCCGGAGTTTGGCTCTGCTTTAAGTGGAGCAGGGTAGGGCAGCTTAGACAGGAAGGGGCCTGCCTAGGAGTCTGGCTGACTCATAATAGAGTCCTGAGATTTTAATGCAAGCAATGATTAGGTCTCAGCTGGGCACATGGTTATGGGGATCTCTGGTGGTGGGGGGGGGAGCAACATCTGAACCAGAGAAGGGAGCACAGCCTTGGCCTCAGTGGCAGGTATGGTTAGGGCCAATAACATCTCAGGTGACAAAGAGGCTCTGTTAGATAGTACTTTGAAGTTCAGAATAAGGCATTCCTGGGACCCCCATGTGGGACATCATGGGCATTCTTCCATTGGAAGTTGAGACTGGAAGCCCATTAGGGTACATCCTTAGATGCCCATTGAAGGTCACAGCCACCTCTAATATTGGGTACTCCTAAGGGCATCATCTCTTGCTAGGAGGGAGATTCTCCCTGATAGTAAGTCATTGGGGAAGGAGTGGGAGTTCCTTGGGGGCCAGTAGCCTATGCTAGGCTCATGGAGTGTCATACTGAACTGTGGCCTCACTTCATTAACATTCTGCCTTGGTGCTTCAGCAGACACCCAAGGGCTCCTCAGCATCTCTCCTCCACAAGTAAAGTGTTGAACGCCAGGTACACCATGGTTCCAAAAGGTGAACACTCCACTATTTCCAGAAGCCCAAGGCATGTCCAAGATGGACATTAACTTCTCGTTACCCTGAGTAGACGGTTGTGCAACTGGCTACTGGCCTCAGCTCCTCAACCTCCTGCTCCATGGCAGCCTGGGGTCGGCTGCACATCAACCATGTGGGGTCCAGGCCAACTTTAGAGCCGACAGGAGACCAGCCACTATGGCGTCCCAGGCAGAAGTCCCTGTACTGCTCCCATTCACATTTATTGAGGAGATTGATCCGTAGGCTGGAATTGAGTTCATCTTATGTGGGTGTATGTTGCCTTGTTTTATTATGTTGGCCTTTATGGTAACGAGGCTTTATCCTTTCATTTCCAGGTGTCTTTTATTTTGCTGGGGTCCATTGTAATAGTCTGTGTAAAACACAAGTTTGAGCACTTCCTGCAGAGCAGATCTTGTAATGGCAAATTTCCAGAATGTTTGCTTGTCAGTAAAAGGTTTGAGTTCTCCATCAAATATTAAATTTAGTATTGCAGGATGCAGAATCCTAAGATGGCAGTTGTTTCTTTTAAAAAGATTTAAGGTAGGAGCTCATTCTTTTCTGACTTGTAAAGTTTCTGCTGAGAAGTCAGCTATATAATCAGTGGTTTTGCCCTTGTAGGTCAGCTTATGCCTGGCTGCTTGTAGAACTTCTTTAATTTTGACTTTGACAGGTTAATTACATTGTGTTTTAGAGAAGCTCTATTTACATTGAGTGATTCTTGCCTTCAATATCTACCTAGTAGGTGTACATCTGAATCTTTAATGATGCTTGGGAAAATTTTCTGCTATCAGCTAGAACTTCTCTTCTTCTTTAGAGATACTTATAATGTATATGTTTGCATGCTTTGTGTTATAACACTCTAAGAGATTACTTTGCTTTTACTCTCTTTTCTGCCTCTTTTAATGACTGGGTTAGCTTGAGTGCCTTGTCTTCCAGCTCTGAGATTCTTTCTTCTCCATGGGAATGTTAAAACTCCCTGAATAACTCTTTCTTTTTTTTTTTTTTGAGACAGAACCTTAAGCTGTCGCCACTATGGCATCATAGCTCACAGCGATTCTCCTGCCTCCGCCTCCCAAGTAGCTGGGATTACAGGCTCCCGCCACAGTGCCCAACTAGTTTTTGGTTGCAGCTGTCATTGTTGTTTGGCGGCCGAGGCTGGATTTGAACCCACCAGCTCAGGTGTATGTGGCTGGCACCCCGGCTGCTTGAGCCACAGGTGCCAAGCCTTTTTTTTTTTTTTT